TTAGGAGACTTTGTGATGCGTGCTTCAAAATGCTGGAATACTGATGATCACTGTCTCGGTCTTCATCTCATAGTATAGAAATTACTAATATATGGAGATTAAAGTTTGTATGTCTGTTTTATGGCATTATTTTCTCTTATCTGAATCTTCTTGCATTCATTACATGTGTATAAGCACAGATGCACAAGTGTGGGAAGAGTTTTTAATATACCTTCATCTGAATTTCTTCAAAGTTGAGTACACTGTACATCCAGAATGGCACTTCAGGTGAGGAATTCTGTTTGAATGGAGTCTGCTTGACATAATTTCCAAATTTTTCTAGTTCCCATATAGATGTGTTTCAGAGTACTGAGACAATTCCATAAAATCTTTGTGCTGCAATGGGCAAGCGTAGTGATATGTTGTGATCAAAGCCATAGACCAGATTTTTTCAAACTACTGATTATCCATGCAAGAAGTAAAAGCTTGCTTGTAAATGATAAGGTTATTTGCTTTCAAGGGAGATGGATTGTGTGTGTATTGGCTGTTATCCCCTGGCTTTAAAGAAATGCTGGCAAAGACCATGTTCTTTGTGAAATAAACTAGAATGATGAGGTTAAATGCAGTGTGATTCAATTTATTTGGCAAGATCTACGAACAAAATGAATATGAACCATGGGACCTTTGAACACTGTGAAAACCTATCTGTTATTTCTCTTGAGGAAAGTAAATGAATCCTTTTTCAGATAAGAGAAAGTGTTACTATATTACTGAGAGAATTTACTAGATTTAGAAGAATGCCAGATAGCTCTTCCTTTCATATTTATAGCTGTCTTTTCTTGAATATAAAAAAATGTAGCCCATGTCATGTGGTAATTCTAAAGGTAAAAGGCAGCCCTTGGGATCTGAATGACAGAGGAGGTCTTGGTCAGCAGTAACTGACTGATGTCTGTACCTCTTTAAGGAAACACACACCATTTGGTAAGGGATCCTGGTGTTCTCTTTTGCCCTGGACCCTGAACACAATAAAATTCCCAGATGAGAAATTCAAAGAAAAATTGACAATTATATTTAATTGATTGTAAAGTCTTGTTTCATTAAATTATCTTAATAATAGCAACATACATGTACTGTTCCGACAGCATATCTACTGTTATAGATGTCTGATGAGAATCATTTATAATAGAGACATGCATGTTCAAGAAAGGCAAGTAGGACTCTTAAGCAGGTATTTTAGACTGTGATTCATTTGACCTATTTTAGACACCTACACTAAGACAAGATGAATCTGGAGGAGTGAATCATGCTCTTCGTGTCTATGCTATTCTGGACTCCCGTTGAAATGGCAGAGTTTCTGGGGGCTGCTCTAATTTCTTCAAGTTAGAGCACCCTTAGTAAGGCTCTCCAACAAGTAACAAGTGTCAAAGCCACTGCTATCTCCAGTTCCTCTCTTTTCATGCCTCTACTCTCAAAAGAAGCTTGTCTTTGGAGTTAGCTAGCATCACTATATTGGTTAGACGAAAGTCATGCTCTGATGGCTTTGATGACAACAGTCCTAGATGCTGTTATATTGGCATTATGATAGGATTGCAATATTGATTTGGAAAAGCACAAGAAGCCCCACAGTTAAAATACTCCTCTTGTAGGATGAGTCTTTCTAGTATACACTTAAGGTTCATGATGAGCAGAGAAGATAGAGGAAACATGAGGAAAACTTGCACAATGTAGTTATTCAGGGAACAAGCACCGAACTGAATTCTCATTGGCTCCAACTTCACAGAAAGAGTGATGATCACTCACTGGAACACACTGCCCAGGGAGGTGGTGGAGTCACCATCCCTGGAGCTTATTGAGAAATGTGTAGGTGTGGTACTATGGAACACGGTTTAGTGGGCAACATTGATGGTTAGTTAACAGCTGCGCTAGATGATCTTAGAGGTCTTTTCCAGCCTTAATGATTCCAGGATTCTATCACTTATTCTCCACCAGATATTTAAACAGTGTGGATGAGTAGCATTCTAGAAACATTTACATTTCCAAAGTGATGCAGTACAGAAATAAACGACCTCCATTATGTGAAAAGCCATGAGTGTGCAGTCTCTGAAAAGCAGGAATTACATGAGCAAGAGATTGAATTTGTCTTGCAAAACTCAGATATCATTAAGCGCAGATGACTGTACACGCACTAGTAATGAATACAGGCTTGAATACTTATATCCAGACCATGAGTACTTCATTAAGGCTTGAAGATTCTTTGGATACCTTTGAACTTCTAGCTAGAATTTTAAAAACCCATGCTGTAGTTGGCTGCCTCGAAGGATGGCAAGTCTGATGTAAGTTGTCAGGGTTGGTATACAGTATGTTAACATTAGTGAAAAAACAAGCAAACAAAAGAAACCCTAAAAAATGTAAAAAGCTTTATCTTATTGTTTCTGCTTTCAGCCAAACCCCAAATCTCCTCTGAAAAGTTGAAGGGAACTGATTTCATCCGAGATGTGGTTGTTCCTTTACCTTGTGCTAAAGCATGTGTGCTTTAATCCAAGTGTTCATACTAATGGCTCTCACTGTCCTTACTGTTCCTTGGAGGGACAAGAAACTTTTGTGTATACTTGAATACGGGAGCAAGCTACAACAGAGGCTGCATTCTCATAGCTGAGCTCCAGCCTGTAGACCTCTTGCTCCAGTGAACAGAAAGTTCAAACAAGTAGTGAAATTGCTTTAACCCTCCCAACCTTTGCCTGACACAAGGCTCACGTACTTTGACTGTGAGCAGTACTGAAGTCCATTAATGGCCTTCTTTTATTACATTCCTTCTCATTGACAGAAGTAATTAGGAGAGACATGTACTGTCTCTGTGACTCTTCCCACTTGAGCTCTCCCTAGAGACAGAAGGACAGGGCATATTCATGTCAAGGAATTAAGATAAAGCCTTCATCCTCGCACTGCTATCACAAACATTTTTGCAGATGACAGGGAGGAACTTCAGAAATTTGGAAAGAAAAAAAAAGAAAAAAAAAAGCCCTTAGTGAGTAGTAAATAGATTCTTACTGTGTCCAGACAAAGAATAAACTTATTGTGTGACCTTATTTGCAAATAAAGCAAGTATCTTTTGGCCTGAAAATTGCTCTGTATGCTCTTTTTAAGAGTTGTAAGATCCCCTACTTGGGTGACAAATTGGGACTATTTGTACAATTGTTAAAAATATGGGATTCTGACCTAGGAGTCTGGTTCTTGAGTATGACCATGGTGCTCATTTTACTGTTAAAAACAATAGCAGAACTCATCCAAAACGACTGCCAGAGTGCTGTGGAGGAGCCCTCATTTGACACAGCTGTTTATGAGAAGAAGAGCTTCCTTTTTCAGATCAACATACATAATTTGGGGAACATTTTCTTTATTTCTCTTCTTTTTTTTTTTTTTTTTTTCCTTTTTTTATTTTTTCTGGTTGAAGTAACCTTTCCACTATGCATGTACTCTATAAGTCAACAATACTTCCTCTGCTGCAGGAGCTCAATTCATTGCTTAAAGGAAGAATAAAATAGAAAAACACACTGGATCAAAAAGAAACAAGACTGTGAATTTGAAAGAGGCCTGCCCTTGGCATTTCCTCTTGCCTTGCTCCCAAAGGCAAGAAAGACTATAAGGGCCCTCCATCAGTCTTATGGAAATACATTTCATCTGAAGTAAATGTTACCCTAATCCACAGATGCCACAGAGAAAAATGACAGCCTTATAATGTTTAAAGGAGTGATCTGAATTGTGGAAAGGGCAGTGGTGAGCTTGGGGAAGCTCTGCTTGACCTCTTTTGATGTAGACATTGCTGATAAATGCGCACAAACTGGCAAAAAAAAAAAAAAAATCCAATTATAAAGCTATTAAGGATGGTGAACCTGCCAATCCCCTCGACTGGCCAAATGTGTCTTGACTGTGTGAAACAGAGGGGCTCACATTACACCATGCTGTGGGTAAAACTAGATTAGTGGGATTTCTGCTTCCACTTGGGCTACAGAGACTTATGGCAAAAGTTGTGGTCTTTGTTTGGCCTGCCACTTAAAAGAATGCATTTCAGGAATGGGTGCTAAACGCATCTAAAAAATTCAAGCATTGACATATTTTTTAACGTTACTTCACTGAAGTTTTCCATGTGCTATACATTATCACTACAATGTGTTTTATCATAATGGCAAATCAGAACTCACAGTGTTCTTTCTCCAGGAAAGACAGACTCCGGCCATTTAAACTAATGGAAAACCCATATAAAATGCGAGCAAGAGAGAACCAACACACAAACAATCAGCTTTAGTTCTGCCCACTGTCCAGGAAAAAGTAATGATAATACAAAGAAAAAAAAAAAAAGGAAGTTATGTATTTTATCCCATTCACTGTTTATGTGCAAAAGCAAGTTGCTGACAGGAGCCCTCATGCCCAAGTTTACTGTTTTAAAAGTATTTTTAATCCAAAACACTTACTTGTTTTTGACTCCTGGGGCAGGAGTTCATCAGGAACTGTCAGGCTGGGGGACTGGTGCATGAAAACAAACGGCAGTGCTCAAGAATGTCAGATTTCATTTGGAAAGCCATTTTATTGTGTGTGTTCCGAGGTGTTATTACGATCGCAGCTAAAGGAGAAGTATTCTGAATTGATAGCATCCTTTCAATCTCATATTTTAATGGGCTGAGAGGAGTATCTGCCAGCACAGACAGAAGCAATTGAACTATGGAAAAACAGTACATTACCTGCCTCTGCTGCATTTTTCATAAGTAGATCTCCAAAAACTTTACAAGAGAAAACCAGGAGACCAACTTCACTATTACAGTAGTTGATGCAGTTGATGTTACACCTTCCTGTTATGCCTCTATGCAGTAGGAATTGATTTTGTAATAGAACAAACTGCCTTTTGCATTGGGTAAATCTACTTAAGTTAGCAATGGAATGATGCTCATCAGCAGTTTTAAAATATCCCTGACTCCACACCTTTGGGAACATCACTTTTATAGTCTAATAAGAAAACACACGAAACATAAGATTAGCATGGGAGCTTTATTCTCTCTTCTATCTTTGTAACTACTACTTAAGCCTTTCTTCCTGGACAAGGAAGAATAAATGCCTTCAGTGCACAATGGGCAAAAGTTCAGCAAAGTGGCAAAATTATCTAACAGCTAATTTAGAGATGCACATAACCAGAGCAAAGAGGTGACAATCCTTTGTGCCAGTTGAATTTGCATTTCCTGGATTCCATTTCAGACACATGATGTACGTCTTTGATCACAGCACTTCTCTGTGTCTTTGATTCTGAGGGGGGGCAACGATCCATTAAAGGCCTGAAATTTTCAAACACAGAAAACAAACACCTAGTTGCTACTGTTAGCAGAGCCACAGAATCACAGAGCAGCTGATGTTGGCAGGAAGCTCTGGAGGTCCTCTTGGCCAATCCCAGACACGCAGAACAGGTGGCTCCAGTATTATCCTCATTTGAAAACACAGGCTCATTATCATGTACGTATGACACTGTACAATGTACTGTGCATTTACTGATTCTGCCATGCTTTTATTTTTTTTTTTTATTTCCATAAACTACTTTTGCAAGGGCTTGCTAGTATCTCGAAAAGATAGCTCTCACCTTTGAGGATGCAGCAGCTCCCTCTTTCAGTTCTTTATTCTTTAACACTAGAAAAAAAAAGAAAAAAAAAAGAAAAAAAAAAGACTGCATAAATCACCTTTTTTTAATTGTGAAATACTCCCCTTTGACATTTCTAACTTGTACATCTTGTAATTAAGACACCTCTTAACATACCATTTTACATAAACTGCAGGTAGAAGTATACTGAACATGTCCCACAAGAAATAACAGCTTAATCCATTTTTTCTGCTGAGCAGGCTTTCTGAACATGTGATCTTGAGTTCTTTACTTAATCCCCAGGGTTAATTAATTAAAACAAAAAGATGAAGAGTTTGTTTCCATAATTCATCTTGTTATTAAATAACCCATTAACTCCTTTTTGAATGCACTGTTTCTCTCATGCTTCACTATGTAGCGAGTCTTAATCTCTAAGACTTTGATTTATTCCACTGGAGTGGCAGCATTTCATACAGGCATGCTCATGCTAGCTTTGAATTCTACCTCTTCAGTACCCATGGCAGAACAGCATTTAGCCCAGAATAGTTGATCATGTTGTATTTCAGATGAGTTTTACTGTCTGCTCTAAGCTTATTGCTACAGTTGCTATGCTGACAAAGCTTCAATAGGTCTGTGTAAGCTACAGTTAGAACTATAACAATGATTTAGTAAACCCTCAGTTTTGTCCAAAAACGTGTTCTCATCCAGACATCTAATTTCCTTGATCAAGTTTTTATTTAACTATTCTTACAATTTCCTTTATCTCTCTCTCTTTTTTTTTTTTTTTTTTTTTTTTTTTTTCCCCTGTAAGGACTGTTTTTCTAGAAACTACACACAATGGTACTACAAACTCATCTGATGCATTTTCTAGAAGTGTGAATTCTGCAATTCCTGGTGTCACTGAATCTGGGTCATTTCCTACACAAGTTCATTAGTCACCAGTGACGCTGTTGGGCAAGAGGCTCCAGAAGAGAGTGGCTCAGAGTGCCAAGATGGGAGGATGTGCTATCAGGGGCTGCTCGGGCAGTGAGGAAGCCTTTTTATACCTCTACCACATCCTGCTAAACTAACACCAGTGACTGCATTCCTTTGGTAAAGGCAACAACCTTCTAAATCCCAAAAGAACACACAGAAGTCATTCCACAACACCCTGTGCCTGCCAGCCCATGGAAATTCATGGTGGGATGTGGGATCATGAGTCCAAGGTGAGAAACCGGCATGGATGTATCATTCATTACCACCACCCACAGCATGCCTGCAGATGTGGGATCTGTGAATGGAGTGCTAGTGCAGAGAACATCAGGATGCAGAAGCGTGGAATGCTGCTGTATGTTGGCAACTGCTAGATTACCTAAACCATGGTGAGCGTGTAGTGTAGGCAGGCTTTATTAGCGAAGTTCAAACTAAGATGTGCTAATTAAAGAAAAGGTTGTCCTAGTTGCTAAGGGAATGAATAATTTCTGTATTACTGCTTCTACCCCAGTAAAGTGTGTTCTCAACTGTCCCTCTGGTCATCATTGCCAGAAAGGGAGGTCAGTTATTGTTGCTTCTGTGACTACAGTGTTTTGTTTTTTAAGCTCAGTTTTGCTTCTTTTGAGAAAGATGTAGTCTAGAATAGGATATCTGTCAGCTCTTCTGTAAAGCAGAGATTGACCAAGTGTTGGAGCCAGTCCTAGAATGAAGCAGATGCAATGGTCTGAATATTCTATTACTAAAGATGCTGGCTGCTGCCAGACATGCATCTTGCTTAGCTTGGTCTCGTAAGAAAGCATTCTCCAATTCTTTTTTCTTCTAACATAATATATACTATGCATAGGCAGATGCTAGGGGCATACGGATGTAAACTCAGAGGTGAGATCAACAGGACTGAAACACACTGAAGTTAATGCTCAAGTGAAAAACTGTCTTCATGTGGTGATCCATTACCAGCTGCTAGTCCAGTAGCAACCCCATCATCCTTCCTTCTCAGTGTGAGCTTTCCATCCATCTCAGCTTGAAACTTAAATTACAGCACGTAGCATTTTCAGACCAGTATTTTTCTTCCAAGTTGACATCCTCTATGGAAACCTTGCTGCCATCATTACAAACCTTTCTTCTCTGACACTCTGTGGGGTTGTCTGGCTGTAACTTTACCTTTGTGAGACACCAGAGCCTTGCTACTCCTGTACCATGGAGATGGGAAAAATAATAAAATTCTCATTAAGAGAAAATTGTCTCTGTCTTTGAAAAGACAATGTAGCTCTACATTAAGCTCCAGCTTCCAATACGCTGAGACACTGTGTTATTTTCCTTTGCTTTTATTTCATGAACCTTTATTCCTCCAGCCAGCTATTTATTATATTGGAACATGTTCCCTTTATTTCATCTGTTCTCCCTCCTACCTCAAAGCAGAAGTTGCAGCATCTGCCATCACCCCTCCCTGCCGGCTGGTTTGGTTTGTGTTCTCCAAGAAATACATTTTCTTTTCCCATAAGCCCTTGAAGTCACAGAGTTCCAGTGCTACCTTTCTCTCACTGAGGACTTTAAGCTCAGGGAGGCATGTCTGCCTTTTGCTGAAAAATGGTCCCTCTGCAATTTTAACTAGTCTGATTTTGCATTACAACCTCTGCGATATCATTTATCTAATTTAGATGTTTCCTCTGCATCCCATTCTACAGAAAGAGCTGTGAAACCTTCATAAGATAAAAATCTTTATCTGAACTTCGAGTTGGACTGCCCCAGAATCACAGTAGAGGTTGGAATCTGCCAGAATCTCCTGCCTGTTGGAGACAGGTATGGGTAGTTAGACCGAGTATTTGGGGGAAAATCCTAAGAAAGCCAGCAACTGCTGAGCCTAAAGTCTTACCCTGAGTTACTTTGCTGTGTTGGAACACAGCAAAGTATGTGGAATATTACTGCTAATAAAGTTGGAATATTTTTGCTAATAAAGCTGTGACCAAAAAAAGATGAGACCCTGATGTTGTGATAAAGACATTTTCATTTGAATTCTGGTGAAGTCTTCAACAGTGTACAGAGAGGGCCAAAAGCAGCTGAGAACATTCTCAGTGTCTATTGTGAGAAGAACTGGGAGTGCCAATGTGGCAGGAACACTTCCTATAATCAGATATCATTAGTCTCATTGATCAGTGTTCATCAGATCATCCTGTTTGACATGTCTTGGCCTGTGCTGAAGACTAGAACTTCAGTTCTTGCCAAATTAACAGGAAACCAGGATAAACAGTCAGCTCTATAGAGCTCTGCTATGCAACAAGTGCATTAACCACTTTATAATGTCTTTGCAATCTGTTTCGATGTTAATGGGTCTGCTACAGAAGCTAACATGTAATAATTTACTTTGAACATGATCTGTATTGGATTATAAAAGTGGACCAGACTCCTTGAAGGCTGTAAAGAGTTCTTACACATCAGGGATTGTTCTCTACACTTTATTTATAAATCAAGTTCATCAGTTCTCTCTTAAATTCTACATTTATTTGTACTCAGAGTGATAGTTCATAAAATATCCTCCCCTTTTCACAGTAAAGATCAGATCGGAGACAGACTCATCCCTTTTATCTCAGCTTTTGTTATGTAACATTTGGAAACTCACTGACTATACCTCTTTGATGCACAAGCTTAGAGTGAGCAGGAGCCAACGTGGCTGTTATGTCATTCCCATTTACCATCTATAGGATTACAATTATTCTACTCATTAACGTTCCACTGCCTGTTGTCACATTCACTGGTCATCCTATTCAAGTTGGTTACTGATGGGACAGTTGAGCTCAGTAATTATTGTTTCTGGTTGTGAGGTTCTTGAGTGATACAGAAAGTGAAATGCATTTCCATAGGACAGGTTATAAATGTAACTAGAGATATTTCGAGGGTTCCACAGATGGGAAGAGATTTGTTGACTCATTCAGAGCACTAGATGGTCTACAAGCTGTAATTCAGAAGATAGTTTGTCTTCCCTCCTTCATCTCTATGATCTTTTCCCAGATTTCAGACTTCCTTCAGTTCTCCAAAACAGCCTCTGTCTCTTTCTCCTCCATTCTTTGTGGGTTTTTTGTGTGTTTTGTTTTGTTTTTGCATAGGTCTCTTGCTTCATTTTCCACTTCAGACTTTTTTTCACCATCCTGCAATCTTTTCTCCTTGCCACACTCCTCTCCCCCACTTTTTGCCCCTCACGTACCATTAACGCTTCCTCTGCAAGCCTTTTCTTTCCACTGAATTCACCACTCTTTTACCCCATCCGTAAACCTCATTAATTCTCTGTAAGTCTAATTCATTCCTCTGCTCTTAATTTTGTAATACCTATTGACTGGATAGTGGTGCTGTTTTTCTTTTTTTTTCTTTTTCCATTTTTTTCCCCCTTTTTTTAATCTACAAATCTCTACTCTCTTTGAAAAGACTGCTGCTGAGGCAGCAGTTATTGTTCTGATGAACCATAAATACATACTTCATATTACTTCTTCTTAGCAAGCAGAAAGACATACAACACAACAGAAAGTAAGAGCCATTTTCTTTTTTCTCCTTAGAGTCCTGGGTACATTAACAGATCTTAATTGCCCAAACCTGCCTCATCTGGGACCCTGCCCAGTCTCTCCCATGTTCCAGAGCTATTCAAGATCAGGTTTGAGAACTTACTTTTGCTCTGAATTATGTGAATGTTGTATCTGTGCTTGCTTCAGTCTTTGGCTCAAACAGGTTTGTATTGCAGCCCCAAGCTGCAGCACTCTGCTCCTGACTAGACTGGCTGGACTGTGGAGCTGCTTCTTCACCGTGCCTTATCTAGGATTGTCACTGAATCTGTCTTCGCTCATGCTGCCAAGTTACTGCACTTGGGTCAGTGGATTCACTGCCCTGCCAACATGGAGGCTGGCCTTGGTTCCTGGCTTAAGCTCCATCACAGAATTGTTTCAAGTTGGCTGCTTCTTCAGTAGAGCCTAATTCCTTTTCTGAGTGCTTGAATGAAGCTTGGGTACTTGGCCTCTGGCAGAGGTGGGAGTACCTGTCAGCACTCCTGGTCCTCCTCCAATCTATCCCTGCCTATGGCTGCAACATTCCCTTTCTGTCATAACTGTAAGGGAAGGAACAGGGACTCTTGCAGTGTTGGCAGCCACTCTTCTTTCCCTCCCACGTGCTCCTTCTCAGCTACCTTTACCAATCAGTTCTGAACAAGTCATTAAAAAGTTCTCAGACAGATAATTTCATTTTTTCCAGCATGCAGCTGCCACCATCATCTTAGGTGCTGAATTTCTAGATCTGCCTCAAAAAAGATGCCAAATGAATATTAACATTATATAATATTCTAATCAGGTTGTGTCCTTTTGCCAAAGGAAAATATCCTCTTTTCGGCATTTCCTCTGCTTTTTATAGAACAGCAGTGTAAATAAAGGTTGCTAATGTTCATTGCTTACAACAGTACGAGGATTTAAATGTATATAATCCTAGATGAGAATCTGCATTAACAGGGAGCTAAGGCTTTCAGAATGCAAACCTCACAAACACAAACCATATGGGGGGGAAGACGGGGGAAGCAAAAAAAAAAAACAAAAAAAAACCAGTGAAACCAGCATCTTGCCTGTGTTCCACAGCTGTTTTTCATGCTGGTTACCTTTTACTCCCTCCTACTGTCCAGATATCTCCACTTGCATCTGTGAGTTTCTGCTTTAACAAAACAAGGGAATCCAGAAACATGCAAAAAGATCACAAATTTAGAAGAGACTCTTATAGCTACAAAAGTGCAGAGCTCAGGTTGCTTTTCTTTTCTCCCCCTCTGAGCAGAACACTACTATGTATTTCACATGAATTACTACTTATTCCTCAGAGCAATGTTTTCAAAAAGTAGTAGAGTCTGCCTAATTACTTCTTCTTAACTACAGCACCTTTTGGTTTCCTTTGAAACAATAATGTGATAATCAATTCCGACTGTTTAGTTCTCCTTTCAAAGAAAGGATCTAGTAAGTATAAGGGAATAGAGCAGATTCCTGTCAAAAATCAGTGGAGAGATTCAGAGCCTGATGTACCTCAACTCCACTTTCAGTGTATTACAGCTATTCTGTAAGGAGGTTCTGCATCACTCATTCGCCAAGTCTAACGATTCTGAACACAATGAGACCTGTACTTTGTGTAAATGTGAGGTTTATAGAATTTATGGATCTGTCTGCTCTGGGCGGGGGAAAGAATGTTGTTTTGATTGTTGCTCTTAGAAAGCTGGTGAGTTTAGTTGTGTGGTATATGAATAGCACTGTACGACATCACTCCTCTCTTGTTCATAACCACTAAGAGTAACACCTTTAGGTACTATTGGTTGGTAAAAGAACTCAGCACAATTTTTCTTAAATTTTTTTTTTAAAAGGCATGTAAGCACAGAACTGTAGTGATACCATCGCATAATCTCCAATTATGATAAATGGTGTGTGCACATCTGATTTCCACCCATATTTTGTTACTACACTGTCCTGGATTTGGTTGCCTTCCACCATACCAACTCTCTTTAAAAGCTAGCTTTGTTTGTTTGTTTGACAAACCTTCTAAGGAACTGAACATGACAGTTGTATTTAATCAATGTGAATTTCTGGTATATATGGAAGACCTGTACTACAAAGCACAGCCAGCTCAAAAATCTCAACACATGTTAAATACAGTGTTTCTGTTTCAAAGCTGAGGGACTTGGGGATGCTGTTGCCAAGGGAAAGGAATGAGAAGGAGATGGGCTGGAGACAGTACAGTGAAGTAGTGATCAACTCCAGTACTTCTATGAGGGTGAGTAGCATGTCGCCAGATCCAACACTGCTGCAGAGGACTCTCAATCCCAGCAGTGGACAGACACCACACCAGACATCTTGTCTGTACTCTGGTGACAACAGCAGTAGTAGGAGCCAATCTGGTTAACTACAGATCAGGCACAAAGTAGTCTGTTGGACAACAGTCATTCTGCTGTTCTAGATTGTGTCCTACTTTGTCCACACCTGGGGCTGGTCTCTTGCAAAAGTCTTCATATTTCCTATAAAAGCCTTCTTGTTTTCTCTGGGCCAACTTGCAGCATGCAGCACTGAGCATGTCTGCACAACTTTGTCAGAATTGTGGTCTCAGCACTCATATGCTGCTGGTCTATGGTATGGTCATACGGTATGGTCTATGGTAACTCACTGTGGCTGAGGATGGAATCTTCAGTGCTGCTGAAGAGAGTCTCAGACATCTAGTGAGCAACAGCACTTTCAAGAAGCTCTACAAAACTCCTAAGCTCCTGCAGCTTGATACCACAAAAACACGTCTACATAAAGAACCCATGAGATAATTTTCAGTGACTGCTAAAACACCCTTGTCAATTCCTCTCTGAGTCCTATTCAGTCGGATTCACGATATGCAGCATGTTCAGATTCTGCTCTCCATTTTTATGATGCAGGGTTTTCAACATGCATTCTAATTAGAAGCTATGCATCTTTCCACAGTAACAGCCTTAACTTAAACAGCCTAGAAGACATTTACACCCACATTTCCACCATTTACATTCCTGCCTGGCGTACTACTGTGATGGTTTCACCTAAACAGTATTTACTACATGATGCAACTCTCTTGGGTTCCTTTCTCTTTGCTCACTGTCCACTCCAAGTCCACTCAGTACCATTATTTCTATTTGGTTCGCTTAATGCTGTCCTCCCTCCCAGACAATTCACTACTGATGTGGTTCATTGGGACCCAATGTCTGTCTCAGGAAAGCAATTGGTTTTTAAGAATAACTGGTAACAGGCATAGCAATAGGAAGAGACTAAAACATTAAGTGCACCCTCTACCCACCTGCAGAAGTGGTGGTCTGCTTTACTACCCAGTCAGGCTGACAACATCATACAAGGTCCCCAGGGAATTTAACTGCCCTCAAGTAATGCTGGGAGTTATCTGTGACTCTGACACTCAAGCTGTGGCAGTCTAGTGTTGAAGAGTGGATCCTCCAGGAATACAGTATGGTTCTGGTGCTGCCTGCTGACATCTGCCAGCCGAAGATTTGATTCTCAGGAGATGGATGAAGTTTTGAAAGCTGAAGGAGATTTCATTTTTTCTTTCTCCTGCTTAGATAGGAGTAGGTGTGAATTTAAACTGATGGAGACAGGATATTTTTGGCATTGTATTTCTTAGTAATTTATATTAACTACTTGTCCTACTGAATCTACTCTTTCCACTTCATCCTGTTTTATAAAAGAAGTCCATCTTTCTGTCCCTGATAAAACAGCATGCACCTAACAGAAGACTGAGCATAGTTGTAGAGTTAGCAGTTTGCTGAGGGGGATGAAGTTGATACAGATGTACTGGGGCAGAAAATATTCTCTTCTGAGTTTAAAACTTTTATTTACAAAAGGGAAGGTTATCAAAAGAAAAGGCAGAACATGCCTACATGTTACCTCAAAATGAACTGGAAAGTATGGGACTGTGGGGCTACTGATGGTGTTGTGTGATCATGTTGTTCAAGAGATGCTAATCAGCCCAACATGTTAACATTTTAGCATAGAAAATATACCCTTACTAGGCTTGGTGCAGCAAAGGAAACTGAAAATCAGTGTTTCCTAAGAGGCTCTTTAGTTCTCCATGGAAGAAATAAATTGCCCATTGTTAGTTCCAGTAACCATTCCCAACTAGGCTCAAATACAGAGGGGTAACCAGTTCAGAAAAATTCTTTTTTGAAAGCCTGGTAACAATTCAAGAGAGAATGAGCTTTCTTAGCTTAGGAAGAACAAGAGGTATGAGTTCACCTAATGAGTATAGATTCTTTACAAATGCAGCTGTCCCCTTTATCAAGCTTCTATTAATCACACAGGGATTTTAAGGGGCTTACGTAAGTAAAATCCATCTATTTATGCCCACACACTGGTGGCACTGTTCCCTAGCAGGATTCTCAGATATTTTTTTAATATAAAACTACTTTTGAGGGTCCAGCTGCTGACAACCTTGCCCCTCAGCCATCTACCTCTCAAGAGATTGCCCTGCACAAGTATCACTTGCAACCAGTCCTTCCTTTCAGTGAGCTAGCTGATCAAAATGTGCCATTCTCCTATAGTACAACTTACTGATTGCCACAGTAGCGCTAACACTGCATTTGTCATAAAGCCTACATGTTTTTCACCTTGACTTGGGAGAAGGTAGGAAAATACAGAACCTCCTACTAATGAACACTTGTTTTGGCTGCACCTATTTTGCCTTTGGTTATGCTGAGTGGAAGAAGGTGGGTAGAAAGTTTCAAAATGCCATGGGCGTCAAGCCTAGTACTGGAAAGATTTTGAGTCATTCCCTTACACTGCAGTTGCTTTAATATCAATCTAGCACAGAAACAATAAGGCAGCACACTTGGAGATACTACCAACACAGGGAAAGGGCATCATGCCAGTAACATTTCCAATTGCACTGCTGTGATTTTGTGTGTTAGAAAACTGATATTTATAATTATTTTTCTTCTCTGTAGACTAAATTAATTTAACTGATTTAAATGCATGTTGATTTCACTGGAAACTTTGCATTATCTGGTCTTTACTTTGTAAGTACTGCAGGAGTTGTCAATTCTGATGCCATCATGATGGCAAAAGCTTATTCTTTTCTTCAGTATGCAATCTGATACAGACTGTAATCTTAGAGTAAGCAGCAATGCCTAGACTTGTGTGGTTGCCAAGCTCAGGAGCAAGTACACACAGAGGGTGTATAATGCCTATTGAAATGGTAGGGACTTTTTGTATCTATTGCTGAGTTCCTTCAATGTCATCTTCAGACTTCGAAGGACTATCCTTTTTCTGGGTCCAGCCTTGTCAGGGTGGCCTCTAAAATGTCTAACAGCTTTAGTTTTATCTAAGAATCAATGAAAAAACCTCTACTGTGTCCAAATACTGTTTGAATCACAGAATATTGAAGTGTTAAAGTACTCCTCTGAAAAAACAGTCCTTAATGTTGACATGTTCATTGGCACTAGTATTGGTCTTTTGTCTTGCTGTTTGACCTTAGTATCAGCTTCCCTGTAACTACTGGAGAGACTGAGAATTACCCTTTTACTACTGACAGTTTTACTATTGAGATGAGGTGACTTTCCCTATTCTCTTGCCAATGTAGCAAGCCCAGATCATAGTTCACAACTTATCAAATGACAGCAAGAACATAGAAACTTCCTTTAGAATTGACAGTCTTGGCTACAGAGAGCTCAGTGCAGCTCACTGTCACTGTCACTGTTTTTAACTCAGGTATTTTTATACAGACTTAAGATGTATGTTGTTATCAATTATCATGTTTACATTTTATATCTGCTTATTCTTCAGTTCTGCATAAGTTTATTGGTTTTTGGTTTTTTTTTTTTTTTTTTTGGCTGGACATAAAAGAGCTTCAATACAAAATGAGTGTGAATGTGATGAAGACCAAATGTGCTGCTACTGCCATTCTGTCAACTAAGAAAGCAATTAAAGCACCCTCCAAACATGCCTGACCTACTGAATTAGGAATATTGGAGCTGACAGATAAAGTTGGCCACAAAAGACACTACTTGGACTGCACTGAAGTTGACGAACATCTCAGCACTATTCACTTAATCGTCTGAGAGCTTCCTGTTGTTGGTTGTCTGAAGAAGTCATTTGACTGTGGGAATAAGTCATTTGTCACAGGTATTCTCTGAGTTTGTATCACTGGCAGTTACTCCTACTTCTTGGCAGAAACATTCTGTCAATGATTGAATGAGCCTTCTTGCTCTTTTAAAGAAGACACCATTCTTCAACTACTCTACGGCCAGTTTTCCTTCTAATTAGCATCCTGGCTCTGGGGACGCCTGTCTTAGTAACACTTTCAGAAGTTAATGAAGCTATTCTGAAAACAATTAGACCTTCTGAAAACAAGAAGACCATTAAGTGCTTCTAATGGAAACAAAAGGTCTTGTTTTGATCCTCATTTTTACCTCAGAAGTAAAAGGTTTCCTTAGGTGAATTAAAATCTAAATGCACAAGGCAAAGACTAAAGGAACAATACGTTATGCACTTTAATTCTTCTAGAAAAGATAGCAGATATTAATTATATAGGTTTACAATTTAGTTGAGGCTTGTCATAATCTCATTTAACATTCATACGATGGGGGAATAAATGGAGACGTGTAACAAAAGAAAACAGACTGTATAACAAGAGATAAACAATATATCCCTTATTTGTTTGGGACTGAGGTGAAGCAAATAGAAATAATTACAGAAAAGAAGCTTCACAAAGTGTATGTATAATATATGTGCATACACATTTTCCCATAACACAGATTGGGACACAAAGGATAGTCTAGATTGAATACCATAGGAATCACTGCAGTTGCATTACTTACTTCAACATACCTTGATTTAGGCTGTAAGAGTATCAGGGTCAATTTCATTTTCCTGGCTAAGCAAATTTAAAGATACTTAAAGTTTGTCCAGTGTCACTTTTTTTTTAACTAGAAGCTTCTGTAAATGGAAGGATACATGTTAGTACAGACAAATTATGCTATCGTATATTATCCATAACTTCACTGCGAGTAGCATATAATGAAGACTACATCAGAAACAAAACAACCTCAAAAAAAAAAAACCCACGAACCAAAAGCACATCATTTCAAACACGGCACTTGTTACTCATTTTATAAGATACTTACTGAGTTACTGAGACCTCTGGAAACACTGGTGTAAACTTTATGGAGTAAAAAACAAATTATTTTCTGAGTTGTATGTGACAGATTAGCAAAAAAGTCATCAGTAAGTAGCAATGTAGAACTGACTTGACCATCTTGGTAGATCTCAACTTAAAAAAAATAATGCCAAATTAGATTAACTTCACAAAATTAAAGTTGTGCATACTTACTCTTCTACTTCTTACCACTATTTGTTATGGTTTTAAAAGCACTACTCCTTCCTTTAAAAACAAAACAGATTAAAAACAAACAACCAAAAAAACAACTATTCTCCACTTAACTAAGTCATAACAAAGGGAAATTAGTAACTGGCAGCAACAATAAAACAGAAAATCTATAAACACTTTTCTCCGGTACAAAGATAACAAGTAGAGAAAAATACCCCTCTCCTTCATCTTTTCTTAGATTGTAGCATCGTACACTTACCTAAGATGCCAGTAGAGATGTTTACATTTTCCTTTTTGGGTCAGAGGCACAATTGAATTCCAGGAGAAACGTGTATGAAATTCAACGTGATTTATCACAAAATATTCAGTTTATTGTCAGAAATTGACTTTGGCTTAGAAGACAAACATTTCCGTTTAATAATTTATTTTCCTCTGAATTCTAAATGTTTTAGGTTTTCATGATGTTTTCTATTCACTTAAAGGCATGAATTTTTAGAGGGTCATGTTTTTTTCCGCAGTTGTTATAGCCACAAGGGCTGGGTTGGTTTGGTTTTTTTTGTGCAGTGGTTTTTTTTTTGTTGTTTTCTTTTTCATTTTTTTTTGTTACGTGCACAGGAAATTCTCAATTAAAATTTAATTTAGTGTCCATAAGGGAGAGCGTATGTAATGGAGTTTCCATTTTACACTCAAGAACTAGACACTTGTTTTTATAAAGATTATATCTCTGTCATTTCCTGTCTAAAATACCTTTCTTACTACAAGAGATGTTGGGCAGTCGGTCCTTCAGTAGCCGTGTTCATTGTAGCGGCAGATGATAAGAAGAATCTCACAGACTGGGACTTGCTTCAGACTTCTAGTCTTGCTCTTTGTACTGATATCATTAACAATCATGCAGTTTCACATCTAGAAGTCAAGAATGAAGATTTATGAACAAAGAGTCCTAACCTTCTGTGTTGAAGTGCATCAGTTAACACAGTCCAGCCAGCTTCTGGTTCCCTGTGACAATATCCTAACTTCTATGCAAAAGTAGCTATTCCAATGACTCCACACAAAAGCAGCTCATGGATAACTTTCTTTTGTCCATGCATGTCCAAAATCCTGAGTGTGACACAGCAGCACCAGTCTTACCATGTATTTAAAATGCCCATTAATCAAAGGAGTGCCTGTGGAGGAATTTGGGCAGAGACACCTTTGTAGCTTTCAAGAATATTTTAGCCACTATTGAAGCTAGCAAGTAATGCACTAATAAAGCAGTAAAGCATTTGTATGTCACTTGATGAACAAAGCACTGTCTTTTTTCTCAAAAGAGCTCATACTTGTTGACTTCATCTAGAACAATGAAGCAACTGTAAGAATGTAAAAAAGACTTCATTGGTCTCAACAGGAGATGAACTCCATGTACGCTCTTAGCTTGAATATTTATGGACCTTAAAACCCGTCCTTCCTTTCACATCAAGTGATTATACTGGAAATAATTTTGTTCTCATAGAATCTCAGCTAATCTGTAAATTTTCAAGGCCTTACGAACAGACACAGTCTTACTGTACTCAGTGATGTTTTGCTACTGTGAAAGTACTATAACCTGTCTGAATACATGCACTCTTATGCCTTTATCTCTTGTTCCAGAAAGGGAAAAAGAAAGAACAAGCTCAAACTCTTGTGTGATAATTCTACAGCTGTATAATTTAATGTAATGCACATTAGAGATAATCCCTATAGTATTTTTTAAAAAAACTTATATAATCTCAAAATAGACATGTTCCTATTTAAAAAAAAAAAAAAAAAAGTCTGGCTTGTATATTTTTCATTAATGTGACTGTTAAAGCTTTGAACCTTATACATGTTCAGGTTTACAAAACATTTACTTGACATTACTGCACGTTTTACTTTTTAAAAAAACGTTAGGAGACCTCCTGTTCCAGAATCTGTGTAGCTTCTGGAGAAAGCTTCTTTCTGGCTAAATGAAATTTGAAATGTAAACGTTTGCAGCTTTTTTTTGTTTTATTTTGTTTAGCTATCTTGGGCTAAGGACCCTTCCGCGTCAGCTGTTTACTCGATGCCCAAAGCAATTGCTCCTTCAAGTCTTCAAGGACCAAGTCGAATGAAGTGTTTTTATGATGAATTTTAAAAGATTATTCACTTATAAGCACAATAAAAACAAAACAAAACAAAACAACTTTCTCTTTATAGGTAATTGCTCCCCCCACCCATCAGCTTTTGTAACCTGGTAGTAATCACTCTCAGCCAGAGTCTGACTAATGCTGCCATGGGTTCAAGCAACTGTTCTCCATTTTGTGTAGGACAGCAACCTGACAGGTGCAGAGCAATTTCAAATAAGACAGTTTGTTGCAGTATGAAGTTCCATCATTTGTGACATACAGTGACATGCTGGCTAATCCTATTAATCCATGCTGCTCTTAAAACCTAAGAATTTTTGTGGGTGCTGAGATTTCCGTGTTCTAATAGAAGACAAGAACTTTAAGAACCTGTAGAAATCATTCAGTAGGATCAGACTCTGACAATTCACAAATCTCTAGGACACAGCATGAGACTAAAAAATATGAATCTGCTCAAACTCCCAGTGATAGGCAGTAGACAATGTGGTTTTCTTAATAATGAAACTGTAATACAGTCTTGGTCCCTCCCCCATACATCCCCAGCAATTCTTTCATCGTGATTGTCACAAAAGCAGTTGTAAACCTTCACGAGTGCAAAAAAAGATAAAGACGTTATTACATGATAGGTGATCCTTTTGCTTCTCTTAAGAGAATGGACAGAATAACTCACTGCAGTACAGCTCAATTCTGACTTCAATTTGCTCAAGAAAACTGTGGAGACCAACATGTGTATGTTATCATAGCTTCTCTGGAAAATCATTCAGCTCTGAATTGATAGAGCAAGGAGAAATGGTCTCAAACCAAAAGAGGGGAGATTTAGATTAAATATAAAGTTTTTTTCAGTGAGGATAGTGAGGTTCTGAAACAGGTTACCCAGAGCAGATGCTGGATCTCTGGAGACATTCAAAGACAGGCTGGAGGGGCTCTGAACTCCCTGATCTAGCTGTAGGTGCCCCTGCTCATCACATGGGAGTGGGACAGATGGCCATTCAAGATCCTTCTCAACTCAAACCATTCTATGAATTGTTTTTATTTTTTTTTTTTCCTAAAGGCTTTCCCAGTTGTCATCCTATGTCAATTTGTAGTCAGCAATGCTTATGTGATATCACTGACACGTTCAACTTCATGATTTACTATCTGATACCACTCCTGACTGGAGCATCGGCAGTGGGCACGGCTGGCGGCAGAGCACTGCGGTTGATGGACCAAAGCCTTAATCGAGTCTGGCAAACAATATCTTCCCATGAATAATCTGCTTCTGAGTTCACGGTATTTTGGTAGAGTGTACTTACTGCAAAATGTAAGTTCAGAACCGATTACAGCATTTAAACAGTTGATGGAACAGGAGAAATTAGCATCTGTGGTATCTGCAACAGAACAACGTTCTGTTCTAAAAGAATTCTTCCTGGAATTCTGGAAAAAGAAAGCAATAAACACTGAACAGCATCCCTGTTATTCCTGCTTCTGATTACTTACATTGGTACCCAAAGCACGTGCCTACTTTCCTTCCTCTACCATCCTAGGAAGGGATCAATGTCTTCAAAACTGCGTTCACACTGGCTCCCCTGCTGGAATTTCTGTCCTGCTTGTGCTTCCCATAGCGCTTCAGACACCTCCCTCAGCAACGCACACACGGTTTATCGCACGGGGAGAATTAAAACAAACAAATAAATAAATAAATAAAAATACCGAACAGCGTTAAAGGCAGCTCGGTGCCTCCCGGGAAGGGCACCTCCCGCGGCCGCGCTCCCCCCACTCACCGCTGAGGTGCGGAGCCGGCTTCCCCCTCTCCGCCCCTCCCGGCCAGGTGTAGCGGCCCGGGGGCGCCGCTGGGTGAAGGCGGGCGGTTCGCGCCTGCCCGTGGTTGGGCGCTCGTTGCCTGTCACAGGGCGGCGTGTCAGCGGGCTGGCTCCGCCTCGGCGCCGCGCCTCCTCCCGCCCATGCACAGACATGACACAGACACACAGTCACTGCAGCTGCTGCTGAGCCCGGGGCAGAGCGGCGGTGGCGGCGAGCACCCCTCTGCCGGCACTGGAGCGCTGCCGGCGGTGGGCGGCGAGACCCGCAGGGGGCAGCCTGGCACCGGGCGGGGGAAAGCTGGCAGCGGGGAAGGGGCGGGAGGCAAGGAAGGAAGGAAGGAAGGAAGGAAGAAAGGGAAGGGGGCAGCCTGGCACTCCGAGCCGGAGGCGGCACCGGGCAGCGGCACGGAGCGAGCCCGGGCGGAGCGCGGCACCCAGCGGCCGCTGAGGCTGAGGCTGGGCCGGCGGCTGTAGAAGCGGAGCCGGGGGGAGCCGCTCCGCGCCCGGCTGCACGCTGCCGGTGACCTTCCCGGAGCTGCTCAGGCCGGACAGGGCCTCACCTCCCCGCGGAGATCGTGCGGCAGGCCCCGGGGAGAGAAGAGGAGAGGAGGCCGGGCCGGAATCTCCCGTCGCCCCCGGGTCTTGCCGGCCGTCGGCGGGGCCTGTGCGGGGAGAAGGGGCGGGAGACGGCGAGCGGGACGGTCGGGCGGCACCTCCCGACAGCGGGGAGGCCGTGAAGAGAGGAAAGGGAGGAGGAGGCAGCCCGAGGCGGCGCATCCCGGGAGGAGCGAGGAACTCCCCGTTGCCGTCCTCCTCCCCGCGCATCCCGCGGAGAGCGGGGACCGCCGGCTGGCATCTCCCGGCTGCGGGACCGGAGCTGGAGCTGCGCGCCGGGAGCGGGGGAAGGAAGGAACACGGGGAAGAGGCACCGGGCGTCCCGCCGCCGTCTGGGGGAGGTGAGTGCGAGGCCGTGTCGGTGCTGGGGCCGGGGGAAGGCGAGGAGCCGTCGGTCAGTGCCCCTCTGCGGGCGAACCGGGAGCTGTGCCGGGAGGGAGTCCCGGCTGCGAGAGGCACCTGCGCGCCCCTCCGGAGTTTCTCCGGAACTCTGAGGGTTCCCCAGCCCCGGCTGCTGTCGTCCGGGCGGGCTGCTCTGTCACCTCGTATCCGAGCGTCACTTCGTTCGGATCGTTAAGCCTCGCTCGCCGGGGTTGGAGGTGACTTGAAGTTTGGCAGAGCCTTATGTAACACTTTTTAGAGAGGCTGTGCAACGTTTTGTTTTTAGAAAGCGAGCGGTTTCTTTGTAGAGCGGTCTTGATTCGCGTTCTCACCTGAGCGCAGCGTCCTCTGCTTTGTTCAACTTGGAACGCGGGGGTATTGCTGGAGATAGAGCCGAGTTTTTCCCAATGTGCGTTAAGAAATAATTAACCTAGGGAGGCATCTGGGCAGTGGTAACCGGATCTAAACCTTTTAGCGTACGTGTAGCCTATCTGCACAACACTTTTGTTGCACTCTTAAATTAATCACAGGAACGTTTCCACAGCACTGGTTGTCATTGGTGTATTCTGGGAGGTACAGGCACCGGGATAGAAAAACTGATGAATCCGAAGTCCTGGACCTTTTTTTTTTTTAAATGTGGTTTTACTGATAGAAGGAAGAAAAAGCACTGGGCTAAACAGACTGCTGTGTTAAAACCAGACTTGCCAATTGCCAACAGGTCAGCATGTTTTATTTAATGAAATCTTCTGGATGCAGAGTAATTTTCTTTGCATAGCATTGTTTTACTTGCTCAGAAGCAGCAGAGAAATGAGAAAAATGAATTGAAAGGTTGCCTAATTTCCCTGCAGTTCTGTAAGTGGCTGTCTTTCCAGCAAATAATAATAATTAAAAAAAAAAGGTGAGCTTTTTACTTCACATGAAAAGGCAGGGAAGTGATTTGCTACGTATTCTTTTGACTCCTGCTGCAAAGGTACGCTAGGGGGACTAGTTAGTGTGGGTTTTGTTCCCATTCATTGGTGAAAATACACCAATGTAATAACACCTATGTAGTGAAGACTTCTTGCCTTCTGTTGCTTCATCATTAGGCTGTAAGCTTAAAGGAAAAATCGTACGTGTAAATGTGAAGGATGAGTTTAGAGCAAGAGAGAATACTTCAACAAAATCATTTCGCTTTGTTCTGCATTCCCTGCTGCAAGCAAAGATAAGTTATCAAAGGCAGGTTTACTTAGAAGAACTAAACAAGAAAAAAATACCCTCACAAACTTTCTGTCTCTGTTGCAGTTTTTGTTTCGTTGTTTTAAATGGAGAGATGACCGAGGTGGAACAGGTTTCCTTGGGCTTCTTGAGAAATGCAAGTTTCTGGTAAATATTACAAGTTTGAAATGTGAAATTCCTATTGCTTAGGTGTCCTGTAACAGCTCCTGATCAGCAAGGCTGCAAGTCATGTAGAAGCTGCAGGATCAGCAGAGTCTCTGATGGATAACTGGACTGGTAGGTTCTTTGTGTTTCTTCTTTCCTTTTTTTTTTTTTTTTTTTTTCCTTTAATTGCCCACTGTGGTACCGGATTCTTTTTCTTCATCCCATTGATGTTTAATTCCTGCAGTTTTTGTCTTATATTCTGTATTGCTTCTTTTCTGTTTAAAGTGCATGCTCTTTTCAGTTGCTGGAAGGAAGCTTGGATGTATTTGCATGGCAGTATGTAGCAAGATTCACTATTTAGTATTAGATATATTAATTTAAACTTTTTCTTTAGCATTCAACTGTTGTGAAAATATAAGGGTTTTCTTTCAGGTCTGGAGAAAATTGCACTGAGTTTTTCTTTAAAGGAGCACTCAAAATACTATTACTCACGGATGTGTTGGATTCTGTATGCCAGCTATTCAGTCTGCTGTAATTCTAAAGCACAGTCCCTCAAAAAGCCAAACTGCACAGCAGTTGTGAATAATTGTTTGTCGTGTGACAACATTGACATCTGTCACAGTCTTGATCTGCTAAAATTTCAGAGTGTAGGTCTTAATGTTAGCAAAAGCAATATTTCTCCTGACTGAATTATGTTAGGAACTTGCTAGACTTGGCATTTCTCATGTATACCTCTATTGCTAAATGGAAGTGTTCTTTAATATGGTTTTAAAGGAACGAAAGTCCAAAGTATTTTTTTGTTTGACTATTTCTTGCTGAAATGTTTATTTCCTTAGTTTTAGCTGGACTAAATGATTGGTTGTCAGTAGACCCTTAATGGAATATACTGCCCTCTCGTTCTCTGATTTTTGTGTATGTGTCTGCCTTGCAAGGAGTAATCCTAAACACGCACAAAAAATCCAAGCTATTTTGCCAGATGATTTTAAACTGAAGGCTAATCTATAATGTGATGTAGCAGAAATGCTTAGTCATGGCCCGAAACAGTGATTGAGCACCTGGTGGGAAGGCAGGGCCAACCCAGGGGAGCTCAGCTGCATGCAATGCACCTGAGTGACTGGAATGTGTGAGGCCAGGATACATCCCTTCCCAGACCTCATTTAAGGGTTGGCAGTGGAGGTGAGGGTATCTTATTGGAGATCCCTGCTTACCTGAGACCTTCCAAGGGTAAGCAGCTTCTTTCCTTTATTTCTGTGCCCACAGTTGTTGCACTTGAGCAAATCCTCACTTGCTGCAGTCTGGGACTTTGCTGTCATTGCTGTGCTTTCCATCATATTACACCTGACTGCGAATTCTTGGTTGCCTGTGCTGATCTCAATCCACATGTGAACTCTGAAGGGAGTTGTTTGTCTGGATCCAGTATGGCATATGGACCTTCTCCTTTTTATTTTATTCTGCCCAGGCATGTGGGTTTGTGTGAAGGCCTCTGTTACTGAGCCCTTGCTGGCTTTGATTAAAGACCTTTCATGAACTGCGTTAGAATTAATTTAAAAGTAGGATATGAGATTTGCTGTGTGTCTGCTTTTTCTTTTCACCTATGTGTGCTGACAACATCAGCACAAAGTACTTGAGTTGAGGACATAATGGCCAATGCAGATTTACATTTGGTCATGTATGAGTTTATCTACACAGAGTTATGTTATTTTCCTAATTCTGTTGGCTCAAGAACTTTCTGAACACTAGCCTTGCACATACATTCAGAAACACATGCAGTACTTTTACCCTGTTAATAGTCTGATTTTGACCCATCTTTTTTTATTTTTTGTGATGAATGCTAGCTTTAAAAATCAGTCACTTTTTTGTTGTTTCCCACTTGGTGTAATTTATGTGCTGGAGAGTCAGAACTGCCACAAGGGAAAGGAATTTTATTCTTCCTTTTTTGCTTTTTCCATTTGATTGCTTTTTTTTTTTTTTTAGTCTTCCTTCAGATACTCCTTGTGTCCCTTCCCACTCCTACCTGGGGATAAGGGCTAAGAAATGAGCATTGTACTTCATAGGAGTTCATGACTCCTTTTGGCAAGACTTGGCTTAGCATGTGGAAGTCAGTCGTCTGCTGTCAAAGCTCATTCAATGCATGGTTGTGAAAGGAGAGTAACAGTTAGCAAACTATATTTTACAGGGAACTTGGTGGCTCAGAAATCAAAGAGAAATTTGATGGAAAGGATTATCCTGGCTTTGGCAATGACTTTGAAGCAAAACTGCCAAGTCTGGAATCCTTGTGTAAGTGCCATCTGTGTCAGAATTAGAAGCAAACAGTGTAAAATAGTTCCTTTACCTGTTTTAATTTGCAGACCTGACCGTATCTGATCTAACACTACTTAAATTAATTTCCAAATAACTGTTCTTTCTAGAATGTAGGTGCTATTTCCACAGCAATTGAGTTAACTGGGTAGAAGCTGCACTTTAAATTGACAAGAGGAGCTACAGCAACATCTGTTTAGTGCAATAGGAAAAATCCAGACCTAATCACGTAGCCTGGTGGAAGCTGAAAATCTGAGTGCAGGAAGAGTGCAGTCTGTCTTGCCAACTTCTGTGTAAG